AAGTAATCGCGCAAACGCGGGTTTTATACGCTCAGTATTTAGGCTCTGGTTAATATTCTTCAACGAGCGGATCTACATATTGCTCTTCTTGGGTTTGTGTAAACTCTTCTTCTTGAGTTTCTGTATTTTTAGTCGTAATTTCTTATTTGCTTTGTATAATCTTTTACGTTAAATTGATGAAAGCTACTTTGAGATGATCTATTACTGAATGCTCATTTTTTAGCATAAAATATAGCTAGAAGCTATAGAGACTGGTTACACTTGACACACTATACGTATACATACATATAGTGTAAGTAAATATATTATAACTGAACTAATCCAAGACTAAAAAAATTAAACTCAATAGAGGATTTAATCATAAAGGAATCAAAGGGTATGTGAAGCGAAAAAAAAAATTTGATGCGTGGTAAACACAATTAATCATTGAAAATAATCCCTAATAGATTCGTTTTAGATATTTTTCAACTATAAGCTGAAGAGAGATTCGTATCGTCTTAAAATCAAAAATGCGTTGCGTAATAGAAAATAAAAAGACAGAACCCATGTTTTCTGAAATAACCGAGGTAAACTCAAATATTTCTTCAATTAAATTCAAAACACATTTATTATCTTCCGCTTCCAACTTTTATTTCACTCGGTATAACTTTAGCTACGGAACTTTCTGTTTTTCGTTTGTTGTTTGTACGGAACTTTTCTGTTCTGTTTAGCTACGGAACTAACCCAAACTAACCCAAACTAACTTCTAAATTAACGTCAACTTCACAAACAATAACTATGACAGACGGAAAACTCGGTCTTCCGACTCGCGGGGTGTAACCTCTTCTGCACTCGGTCACTGCTGTCACTTCACTTCCTCTGTCTGGTTCTCGTCGTCGCTTATATAGTTTCCTCCAGGTAACAGAGATAGTTCTCGAAATCTCCAGAATAGGTGCGAAATTTCCCGCTTGTCAGTGTCACATTTGACAGTAAATGGGGCCCAAATGGGGTTCCCATTTACTGAAATACCATGAATTTCGATCCCCCATTCCAAACGTAAGTACCCCAGGCCATTTCCGTTACAATATATTATTACAAAACAGTAATGATGTTTATCATTTTATGTTAAATATGAAAAATTATAATATATATCTAAATATTTATTATTTGTTGTTACAAAATAAAATAACAAATAATAGAACATATTATTGCATTAAAAGTTAATGATAATAGTTGACACTTTATTTGCACTTAATCTTGAGCATTTTTCATAAATTGACCCTGTCTTCTTTAGATAATATGATGAAAATCACTAAACAAGTAGGTAGAAATCTTTTAGGAGATTGGAACTTTGAATCGTGCAATACAATGCAAATGGACATCATCTGAGCAGCATCTGGACTACAGACGAAGAGTACGACATAGGGAATCGGTACCGGGATTCTATCGATACGATTTAATTTAATTTAGTCTTTTCTTGAAACGAATTTGTGTTCGCAATCAATCAGACGATTTAAAATAGGTCCAACAGCTTTCAAAAACTTTATTGTAGTGGATCTTAGGCACCATTTTGTTGCACAATATCGATTAAATGTTGTTCTTAAAACAATATTTAACAGTGCAGGGCAATGTGCAATCTCCTTTGCAATAATAAATACCCGGTCGTTTGAAGATTTTTAAAAGTTTGTAATAGATTTTTCTGCAAATTGATGAACGATCCGCATTTTTTTGCACTTTAACTCCTTTAGTGTGTATAATTGTGTGTGTACTTTAATTGGAAATTAAAAAGAAGGCAAAACTCGAACAGGCATTTAGTACATGAGCACCCTTACCTCGTCTTTGCAGTATCTGCAGCTTCTCTCTTGTTAATTTGTTGATTTATTGTTATCAGCGTTATAAAATAAACTGCACCGAACATAATAATATCACACTCAATAATTGATATATCAAAATTACTGTCAGTTTGATAACGCAAAGTGTATTTGAAAAGTTTATCAGATCTACAGATGCACCCGTACTAAGAGAAAAATGTCGAATTCCAAGTGTATATGTGCGTCCCAAGCTTCAGGCGCGAAGAGGCCGGAGTGGCAG